AACAGACAAGCAAAGCCTGTTGTTACGATAAATTGAACTCGTGTTTTTAAAGAAAATTGTCTTCAATCTCACCACTCATTATTATTCTTACGTCACTCTAGTTCATCATCACAGTGAATCAAATAATTTTACCAATCATAACGCTTTAGCTTTCAAATTAATAGTTTTATTACGATTGAGTTTTACAATCTTCATTATAAAGTAGAAAGGCTTTTTGAGGCGAAAACCTCTAAAATCAGTTCTACTTCCCTCTTTGTTTCCTCTTATTTTCCCTTCAAAACTTTTCTTTTAGAGGATACCTTGTTATATATCCCAAGACATGGCCATGTAATCGTCTTTGACAGTGTTGGGCATGAAGCACATAATAAATCTGATATGTTAGGTGATGGAATTCTACCTCTCCTGTCTGATACTTATTCATGTGAATCATGAGCAAGTGGAATATTTCAGGATATTCTCTACACCATAATTTAACTTACGATTGATTAACGAAGAAACGACTATCATGATGCAATAAAATTGATAAGCAAATCCGAAAACAGAGATTATATTTCCATTAGTATGAATTAGCATCATGATATCACACCATTGTGGTATCGCTCTTGAAAGGTATTTCACAAACAGATTGTGAAGCGGAAAGTATTCATATTCAAAGATTTCAACGTGTCGTAGAAACATTTGAAGAATTCAAGTATTTCTAAAATCAATAGTGTTTGACAAGTATTTGGTATGTCCAAAGAAATGAGCCTATGACCAAGCATTTTTAATCATTCCTTCCATTCTATATACATGTGGTTTAATATGGGAAATAATATTTATGGATATAGCTTCTTTTCTTTGTGTTACAATAGTTCAATAATCTCATCAGTATTTGTTTACTTTATATTCAGAAATATACTCATGATCGTGGAAAACAGAGAGAGGATGCCATAAGGAAAACAATATATATTGAGTTACAGTTAAACTATAATCATTAATATTAATCTTATCTGCCATGGTTAGAGAAATTATCAGTTGTACTCTAGAGGTATCCTAGCTGTGATATATTTACTAGGTAATGTCTTAGTAGCACCATGTCATCAACAAACCAGTCGTTTATCATTATCTCTCAACTTATTTGGACTACAATCAATAAAATAAGTATGAAAATAACTGCTATGTTCAATAGTTCCAAAGGAAAAGTGCTCCGTTGAAGCAGTTTTTAGAAATTCACACTCCATTTTCAATACTTTATAAGGATATCTCACCAAAACCATAGAAAAACATTATTTTTACTGAGGAAGTCGTCACATTCGATTCATGTGTGTTGAAAATTCTGGACATATAACAAAATTCTTCACGTCCATTTAACAAGAAAGCTGATCAAGGAGCGTACATGACATTCTCAGTGCACATACATTCTTGGATTTCTGTCTATTTAGTAATCACGAAAACTGATGATAACGGTATACCAGTGGATAAATGTTAACTGCATTAGAGACAAGATTGAAACAAGGGCTAAATGTATTATGCATCACTCACATGAAACGGATATTCGTGGATGCCAGCTAATCGATACACGTTGTTGAACGAGTAACGTTTACATTGATGAGAGAAACAGATATTCATATTGAATAACTGAAATTTAACATCTAAAATTAGCATATGATAATGCTCCTTTAAGTGTGATTTTTTAACTTGAGACGTCAATCATTATTCACAATATTTTGCCGACAGCTCTCTTCACTCATCATGTGATGGAAGTGATACTTCCTTAGATGCCAAATCAAAATTTTACATAGAATAATGAATTGGAGTTTTACATTGAAAAACGTGTATTTTTTCTAAGAGCGTCAAAACTTAAGTATTTGTAATAAATCAGTTTGATAACTAAATCAAAACTTCATTTTCTCATGTTGTTTACACTGATCGAAATATCTGCAGACAACAACCCCAACTCAATTCACCTTTTGGCAAAACACCACGATGTGTTAATAAGTGAGAAAATGAGATGTCAATGTTTTGCAGGATTGAAATATATCATGAAAATGACAGGAACCGGATAAAAAATTAAAGACCGACTATGAGAAATGAAACTTTCTTTGAATGATTCTTTATTCAAAATTAGCATTATCTGAAATATTTGAATTACCCAATTTATCAATACTCAATGTAAAACTTGAAAATCGCAAAATTTACCCTAATCATGTTTTATGCTGAGAATTTATAGAGATCTTTTTATATTCAATTAGCCGACTAAATCGTTTTAAACTATGCAGTGCCATAATATGGAGGAAGCTTCTTCATTATGATAACAGATGTTTAGTGTTGTGTGCAGGGCATCAATAAGGGTATTATTCAGTCATACTGTGGAAATAAAGCACACAGTTATTGAGCGTAATGTAGTTTTAAGGTGAGGTAAGGAAAGTAAGATGAACAGAAAAATGTCAAGACTTATTGAAAACACTATAAAATCTCAAATATTTCAAACGATACCTTAGCGAAGGGTTTATCAGTACAGTATGAGAACAGTGATGTCAATCTCTTCGGGAGAACTTACCAACCATATTGGTATACTGATCAACAATTATTCATAATATTTGTAAACGTCTCATAACTGTATGTTCTATTTATTCTTTTTAATTTGCTCATCATTTCTCACGGCTCGACCTGGTCCATAATGTAACACATGGATGATGTAAGTTCACTTAATTATCTCTGCTTGTTCAGTGATCAAGTTGTAAAATGCTACAAAATTTAGAACAGTCACATATGTTTCACAAAATATGCTTCGTGAAACAGACTGTTGAATAATTTTCAATTCGGTAATCTGCATTATACATATTTTGTATATGCATCGAATGATGTATACAAAACGAAATACATTCAATTTTGCAAGTGGTGATTATGAGTCAGTCTCATCACATATACTCATATACTACATTCACATTCACCTTGAGTTTCACCAAATGAGTTTCCTATTTGCCATGATTCTCTCTCACATAACTATAGTATGCAACTATTAATTTTATTATTGTAGAAACTATAGACGCCGTCGTCTTCAAATAACTTTCGGATCGAGTGTTTACATTTTGTTTTATGTAGACTAGAAAGTACAAGCATAGTAACCAACTGTTTGTTTGATTTTAAATACTATGACATTTCTTTTTTTCTCTTGATTTAAATGTTTTAAATTAATCCATGTCTAAATAGTAAAAACGAAAAACATTATTTAAATGATGTTTGTTGGTGAACGTTGGTTAAATAAGGTTGCGAATATAATTTGAGTAGATTAAGGATATATTCCAAGTTATAATAAATAAATGTAAATACAAAGATATAATAATAACATTAATAATAATAATAATAATAATAATAATAATATAATTCAACTGTGTGAATCGGCAGAGGAAATTCCAAAAGCACCAGAGAATTTTTAGAAGCCTGGCACTCAGGTCAATCAGCAATCAACAAACATATTGAAATCAATCCAATTTATCAACCAATCAGGAAAATCATGCACAAATATAGGAACAAATCAAACCAATGGGAGACACAACCAAAACAAAGAAGTAAACAATGATAAATTTACGGTCAATAAGAACCAATCAACATCGAGGTGTACAGAACAAGCTGTGAAACGCATATGGAGAAATTCAAACACTTCACTTCTATCTGAAGTTTGTGCTGATGATGTCGTTCAGAAGAACGATGAAAACTCCACGACCAAACCATCCAGCTCAGAGGACGAAACTCCACCAAAATCATCCACCTGAGCTACAAATCTCCACCATCTTACCTTATGTACAGTTGCCACACAAGATTACATAACTAATAACGAGTATCATTAATCTGTTCGACTGGTTCAGTATAAAATCAAATGAATGGTTTGAATGAAAGAAAGTAAATTTTCAATTTTATACAATTTACTTAGGACAGGAATAAACTCAAAACTTACTCAATTACAAACACAATAAAAATGATCGTAAGAATGTTAGTTTGATGAGTTCCACATAGTTTCATTTGCGTGAAGCTTAACGCGAAATGGGTTTGATATTCTGACAATTCAATAACTATTCGAGATTAGCCATTGCATTAACATTATGGGTTATACTACTCATGCTGACATGATCAGTACAATTGAGAATGTACTCAGTTCATGATTCATACTTTTAGAGCAAACAACTTTATTATGTGTTAATTTCACTTATATTCTATTGTCTCAGATAGTGAATTAGTTAGACCCATTACTTCGGATCATTACCCTAAATATTTGTAAACATGCCCCCAAATGCCCTGGTACGGCCGAGAGTAGGGAGAGTCCGCTCTCCCTCTCGAAATGCTCTCACATGGCCACGCGTATATAGCCTCTGCTAGAGAAGTCCTACTCACTGCCTTCTCGTGGCGGGGGTGTTGGTTACGAAAATGAGAGGACAAAAAGCGAATGTCCGGCGCTTTAACCGGATCCCAAAACAAATCAATGGTGCACATGGGCTCCATTCTCCTGAGGGAACAAATGGTGTATGAACCAATTGTTGGTCACTGGCTTCCATGGGACTGCATCTCCTTACGATGCTCCACTACCTTGTGGATCAGACTTTCAGGTCGAAGGCTCGGGGAGTGGACCCTAAGAAAACCACCTGCTTCGGTTTAGGCACCCGGCAGTATCACAGCCCGCATACATATCGAATGAGATTTGTGTGGCGCATATGTATTTGGTGCCTCTTTGTACCAATATCTATGTGTCGAAATAAAATAAATAAATAAATAAATTGTAAACATATACGTGGGGAATACCCTCTGTATTAATGTTGAAATAAAACAGTATGGGGAAGCAAATATTATAAAAGAAATAGTTTGTATCTATCTACTAAATATTTGTTCTTTCATTTCCTCCGTTTTCTGTGAAACCCGTGTATTTGAACTTCTATAAAATGACCACCAAAATGTGTAAACGTGCTTGTGTTTGATAGAAATTTCATTGATATGATTTACCTTAAGGTTTTCAGTTAATTCGAACATCAAAAGTTGACTTTTAAAGTAGTTTTTATCATCATCATCATCATCATCATCATCATCATCATCATCATCATCATCATCATCATCATCATCATCATCATCATCATCATCATCATCATCATCATCATCATCATCATCATCATCATCATCATCATCATCATCATCATCATCATCATCATCATCATCATCATCATCATCATCATCATCATCATCATCATCATCATCATCATCATCATCATCATCATCATCATCATCATCATCATCATCATCATCATCATCATCATCATCATCATCATCATCATCATCATCATCATCATCATCATCATCATCATCATCATCATCATCATCATCATCATCATCATCATCATCATCATCATCATCATCATCATCATCATCATCATCATCATCATCATCATCATCATCATCATCATCATCATCATCATCATCATCATCATCATCATCATCATCATCATCATCATCATCATCATCATCATCATCATCTCATCATCATCATCATCATCATCATCATCATCATCATCATCATCATCATCATCATCATCATCATCATCATCATCATCATCATCATCATCATCATCATCATCATCATCATCATCATCATCATCATCATCATCATCATCATCATCATCATCATCATCATCATCATCATCATCATCATCATCATCATCATCATCATCATCATCATCATCATCATCATCATCATCATCATCATCATCATCATCATCATAATCAATAAAGTAGGGAAACTGAATGTAACATGTCTTCTCACAATTCTTCGTTATTTTCATGCAGAATGAACAAAACCTGTGCTTTGGGATGTGCATAGGGTTTATTGCATCCTAATAAATGTAATGCATCTAAAACATCATTACAGAAGACCACTATTTGTCGATTTTCTTATCAAAAATTTCACAGAAAATAGTAAACTTCTTATTTGAAAATAAGCAGTTCCATTATGCGACAATCGTGTTCGAGAATAAGTCGGATGTTGTTTAAGCATGTACTTGATACAAAAACAAACGAGCGAATGATTAATTGTTGTCACTGTTTCCATGATTACATGAACATGACTATTGACCACTGTTGAACATCGAAAGGATATTTCAAGCGTGGAAAGGCGATGAAGACATAGAATGATGTGCATACAACAAAGCAAATGAAATTTATTTGGTGTATGATGTGAACAAGATTTTCCGTACTCATTCGAAATACGACAATCAATTTAAAAAATATTATTTCGGATGGTTGGAAATACAACCGATTCAAAATAATACTATATGGATGTATCAGTGCATTGAGTGCTAAATTTTAATACGATGCATATGAAATAGGAGCTCTAAAATGAGTCATGTACTTTATTTGTCGTGTGGGCAAAGTGATAAACACGTTTCACTGAGCATCGTCTCTTATGGATTTGTAATTATCTCCAAATATTATACTCACTTGTATTAACTAACGACTTATACATTTTATTTCAAGTACAAAGTCTGATACATCCAGTATTTCTGAAAATCAATAAAGATTTATGCTGTCTTTACTTCATCATGAGTTATCATTGCAAATTCGGTGAACCTCCAAGTTATAAGACCTAACAACATTTCACGGTACTTTCATATTCCCTCACTTTAAATCAAATTTCATCACGATTCTTGTATGGTGGAAGATTAGCATCAGTTTTACTTGTTTATTTTTACACTCGACATTAATTTCAGTAGACACATAATTTGCACAATCAGTGCGTAGAATGACAGTATTCAAAAAAAGTATTACTATTGTTACTATTAATGGCTTTATTCAATACGATACTTTTGATACAATGTAGAATTCTCATTACTAGGTGTTCCAACTAGTCTCTTTTCTTAAATGCATAACTTAAGAAGATAAACTACCTGAATTACATGAAACGTTTGTTTATGTAGATTCGTATCTGTGCAACTTTTTATCTAGAAACATGTTTAAGAATACAGTTTGTTGACTAGATCAGCTCTAACAATCTGTTTGTCAGATGGTATAGATAAGGTGTTGTAGAACTTTCATATCTTTGTTTGGGTGCATGGATTCTAATGACGTCTCATTCTACCAGAAGATATATATGAAATAGACGGTTATTGTCGGATAAGATGACACCTGTCAAGAGTTTGCAAGATTCTAGATGTATATAGACAACCATATTAATGATAATGACTTGAAATGATTAACTACACACTTTGATAACTGCTTTCAGCACTCTCCTTAATACAGCAATGTTTTTTTTTCGAAAGCCCGGTAAAGAATAATAGAGAACAGTAAATAATAATAGATAATATACAAGAATTGGCAGAGTGTAAGAGTAAAAATCGAGTAGTCCCAAAGTCACACAACCTCTTTATGTAGTAAGTCAGACGGTGAACTTTCTTTGATAACAATAAAACAGTGGAAGATCAAGAGAGGTCAGAGGAAAAATATACACCACGACAAATGACATTTGACACTATATTCATCAAAGAATCTCCAATGGTACAAGCATCACGGTATTCAGCCAGGGTGTTTCAGTGCCGTTCATGTCTCAAGCTAAAGTTAACCGTTTGACATTTGGCCGAATTAAAAGGGAGACCATCAACAACAGACTATATTCATTCAATACATGTCAGGAATACCTTCATTCCAAGGGAATGTAAAGAGATAGAAATCAGCACACATACAGCGAGACTGCAAGTGGTTGGCGTAACCTATCCGCAAAATCAAATGACAATCATAATTTGTTCGTTGGGATGCATTCTGTAATTGTTTACGGAATATTATTTCTTCATTTTATGTATATCGCGCGAAAGTGGAAGTCCATAGTTATATGTATCTTAACTCTATTGAAACTAGACTTCCTCATATAATATTAATATGAGTTAGAGAACTGATTGTATCAATGCTTTATGTCTTTGGTTAATCATTGTTTCATTTACTCTACACTTAATTTCATTCATTACGTCTGGTTACTATTCTTGAATTAATATAAGAATATACAATTACGCTGATGGTGAATTGACACTTTTTCATTTCTTACTATTACGTCTCTATTTGTTTCGATTGGAAGATTACTGAATTCATTTGTTACTATTTGTCAAGCCATAAACTTAAAATGTTCGGAGAATAATCGTATTTATTTTATTGATGTCTACTTGATGTCACTTGAGTTTCGATTAGTAGATAGCTATATCACGATTTAACCTTGTGGAATGAGCGTATCATTTAAATATACAGACAAATACAGCCAGTCTCTGTCGCACTGGCTTACAGCTTGTTCTGCAATTCCTTAAGCTTCCTACTTGTAAACTGAGATTAGGGATGCTTCCTTTATTTATTTACTGATATCGGCGGATGCAGCCACTCAAGAAAACCTCCTCAATATAGTTTATTTCTGAGTGATTTATTTCTTCATCTATCGGCCTGTTCAACAATCTCTATTTTCAGTATAAGGGTTGTGGAGATTGTTAAGTTTTTTTATTGAGATCATGAATCATTTGATGTTAGACCACCGTTGGAAACTTGGAAGCACTGGACGGCCGTTTCGTCCTAATATGGGACTCCTCCTCCAATTCTCGGAGTTCTAGTGAGAAGCCGTGACCAGTGGAGCTAATCTGTGTTGGGTAGAGACAGGTATCTACCTCAGTACAATAGAAGTTGGTCGCACAATTTCGTGGATTGGTTGATGTTAGACACTAACACCATTAGATGCCGGCTTAGCGGTCTAGGTGGTTAAGCGCCTGGAGCGAGACTGATAGGTCCTGGGTTCGAATCCGCTGGGAGCGGGATCGTGGATGTGCTCTGCTGAGGAGTCCTATACTAGGACGAAACGGCCGTCCAGTGCTTCCAGGTTTCCAGCGGTGGTCTAACATCAATTGATTCATGATCTCAATCAAAAAATCTCTATTTTAATGTACACCGATGAACATCAAATTATATGATGCCGAAATATGCATCTCGAAATCAGATATTCACGACATCCGATTTCTCAGTTATCTTCTATTTAACATCCTTGAAATTATACTGCTGACGTTTTTTTTATAAAAGCAGTTGCTTATTGATTTTTCCGTGCTGTGCTGAGCGTATAAGACTGAATCAATTCATTCATAGTATTATACAATTTTTTTTCAAGTCGACACACGAATAAACAATCTATGAAGAAGCAGGTTGAAAGGTCTCATTAGTAAATAATGAAAGATTGAATAATGGCATAAAAGTTTACGGATATTTCGGCATCACTAATTATCTCTGTTAACATTACTCAAGTATTAGGAAAGAACTTATTAACAGAACTCAAATACATAATTCGGTTCGATTAAACTGAAATAACTGGATGGCATGTATGACGCTAATTCATTTATATGAACGTTATTATTAGTAATATGCCTCGAAATTCACTTGCATTTTTTTATTAAAACCGCTTCAAAATTATAGTCCAGTTATGAGCAATTATGACATTGATGTTTAGCGATTACACTTTACGATATCGGTCTTCCGTTTAATAAGGAAGAAAATGTGGAACGAAACACTCACTTAGAGTTATGTATTTTTTTCACGATATCTCGTAATAATCAAGAGCGTTACGGTTTAGCAACCATGAGTATACAGAAGCGGATGATTTAAAACACGGCGGGAGTGGGCACATATTTAATCACCATGATGGACAACTACATTGTATATGCCAAAATTAATGGTTTTTAGCTGAATGGGTTTTTACAGCTTAAATTACATAATGACTGCAATAATCAAGGAAGCAATTGATTGTAAAAATCATTAATATCCATGCAACCTGAAAATTCACATGTTGCTGTACGATTTTATTGGTATCACAGAACATTAGAACAGAAACACATTATCTTGAACTCAATGCTATATTGCTTACGATAAACAAACCATAACTCAAGAATGATGAAATGTTATTGTATAAAAGAAAACGGTAATAGGCTTCCATCTCTACGAATGGTTTGTAAGAAAGCTGACTCAACTCACCAATATTGATATTGTAGATATACGGGCTCACTAAAAATATACATGTATATTTCATACTCAGTTGTTTATGGGTTAGGGCTAAGTTGAATTCTCGACAATTCCAGCTCAAAGTTCTTTTATTCTATATAATAATGTAAATACATTCTGTTTGTTCCCAACATAGCCTAAATGTAAAAATAATCTCTCTTCAGAATTCAGTAAGACTAATGAATGTTTACTTCATGAATGAACAACTGCCCGATTTCAGGATTTCTATTAAATTAATTATAAGTGATAACTCAGTGTAAAATACTCACACCTATAAATAGATTAATTTTACTGGTCATAAAAAGATGTTACTGCATGATGTCACTTGTCTTCCACTCATTTTTAAATCACTCAAATGTTTGTTACTTTATATGTGGTAGTTTAGACGCTCCAAGCTTATCATACATATTACATACTTGCTCAGAGAAATTCTTTCTACATTAAGGAAACACTAATCTGGTACTTCGTACTAATAGATGAGTTATTGATTGATATCATGTTATTCTATTGACGAATGTTGTACGAACATTTATTTAAACAACCTTACACAGTATGTGGTGTATAATTTACCATAGTTCTTATTGTTAACTGCTAAATCAAATTCATATTCTACGTAAAGCAGTTACACATTTCGCATATGATTTTAAGTAAACTTGTTTTTTCTAGCGTTCAGGGAACTGCCAACACTCAATCTTACATTTTATTATTAGAAAGCTCTAAACTTGTCTTAAAAGATACTACTTAACTTCTTTCGCAAATGATGTGATTTAATGGA